CCTCCTCCTCCTCCTCCTCCTCCTCCTCCCCACTTCCTCGTCCTCCTGCCTCTCCTACCTAATTATGGTAGTGGCGGTGGACAATCGGCCCATCATCATAAGGCCCCCGGCCCTCTGAGAAGCCTCCTGAGCCTCCTCCAGAGCTATTGGCAGCTCCACAGAAGCCTGCAGGGAGCCTGTCTTTCCTTTAGACTCAGGAAAGTTTACTTGCATGACGTTCGCCCCCGCCCCCCCCCCCCACATCGCCCCACCGCCCCTCTTCAAACGCACGCTGGCGTGCAGAGGCCTCTCGGCTTGCGTGCATTCCGCACGTGCAAGTCGTTTGCGGCCTGCTTCGGGTTCAGGCCCCCCCCCGCCCATGCGAGTAGACTTGCCGAAGTCCGAAGAGAACAGGCTGAAGGGCTTCTAAGAAGCCCCGCTGCCCTCTGAGGAGGCCTGCCCCCTCAATGATCCTCGGCGTCTGGCTTTCGAGACACTCGGATCTCCGGCGGGCTTCCAGGACGATCCAGGCACCTCCAGAACGCTCGTGGCTGCTCGAAGGCATCCCGAAGCTGGAAAAACGCCGAGAACCCACTAAAACATATGAGAACCTCGAACCTTGAGCCCGACCCCCCCCCCTAACAAAAATTATCTGGTCGAAAGACCCGACACCGTGCAGTTGTGAGTACCGCATTGTGGGTACCAGGGGGCTTCGGTGGAGCCCCCTGTGGGGCCACGAATCGTGTAGGGGTGTGCCGACATGGGTGGAGAACCGCATGCGAAACCCCCTCATGGGGATTCAGCGGAGCCCCCTGCGGGACCACGCAACGTTTGAGAGGTGGCCGAAATGGGTGGATAACTGCATGCAAAACTCCCCATCCTGGCGGCTGCGGTGGAGCTCCCTTTGGGTCCACGAAACGTGTGAGGCGTGTGCTGACATTGGTGGAGAGCCGCATGCGACCCCCCTCTTGGGGGCTTCGGTTGAGCTCCATGCGGGACCACGAAACGTTCGAGAGCGGGCCGAAATGCTTGGAGAATCGCATGGAGCTCCCTGTACTGGGTGTGCCGACATGGGTGGAGAACCGTATGCGAAATCCCCCTCCCGGGGTTTCGGAGCTCCCCCGTGGGACCACGAAACGTGTGAGGGGCGTGGAGAAGCGCATGCGAGACCCCACTCCTGGGGCCTTCGGTGGAGCTCCCCATGGAACCACGAGGCGTGTGAGGGACGCGGAGATCCACCTGCAAAGCCCCCCATCCTGGGGGGGCCTTCGCTGCAGCTCCCACTGGGACCACTGAACGGGTGAAGGGCGTGTAGAGCCACACGCAATAAAACCCTCCTGGGCGCCCTCGGTGTGGCTCCCTGTGGGGCCACGAGACGTGCGAGGGGCATGCAGAACCGTCTGCAAAACCCCGTCCTGGGAGCCTTCGGTGGCGCTCCCTGCGGGGCCACGAAGCGTGTGAGGGGCGGGTAGAGCCAAATGCAAAGCCCCCTCCTGGGGGCCCTCGGTGTCGCGCCCCGTGGGGCCACCAAACGTCTGAGGAGTCATGCAGAACCCCCTCCTGGGGCCTGCATGCAGACCACGAAGCGCGTGATGGGGTGCGTCGACATGCTTGGCATGTGGAGAGCAGAGGCAGGGACGGGGAGGCGGGGACGAGAGGAGTGCAGCAGGGGGACAGCGGGGGCGCTGTCTCTCAAAAACGCAGGCTCAACACCGCAGTTCGGTGGCAACCCATGGGAGCCTCCCCTACTATCTTGTCGGCTCTTGCGGATCGACGCTACATCGACGCTTCGTCGACGCTTCCTCGGCGCTCATCGACGCTGACTCGGCGCCGTCTCATCGACTCCCCGGCGCTCATCGACGCTGGCTCCCACGATGTGCCACCGAACCACGGGCCAAAGTCGGGAAAAAGACGTCGCCCCTCGGCGCGCCGCCGCTCCTCCTGCGAGGCGAGGGCCTCCCGGTGCGCCCGCTCCTGGCGGCGCGCGCGCGCGAGAGGGAGGCGCCCCCCCCGCGCGCGCGAGGCGCGCGGCGGGCGGGGCCGCCGCCGCCAGCCCCATCGGGGCGAGGCGCCAGGCTCGGGGCGAGGGCCAGAGCGGGTCCAGGTCCTCGGCGGCGACGGTAGGGGCGACTAGCCCAGGGGCGGGCACGACACGCATTCGCCCGTGAACC